GAATTCACATGGGACGTAGTGTGTTGGAAGCGCTGTTTGTCATCTGGCAGCCACAAGTCATTTTCGTATGTATGGCTGCACTCAGAGTCACAGATGTACGCAACTTTGCATACACACACAAATCGTAGTGACAAGTATGGCTTCACACACACACACACACATAGCAAGCCTGTGCAAGCATATTGGGCCTATAAGCATAATCTCATGGCTCCCTGAGGGAACATAAAAGGCTCACTGCTGCTTCATTGTGACTGCAGGTTAGATACACAAACGCGCTTGTGTGGTTTTTTTTCGCTCACAATACAAAACGGGCACGCACCGGGCGTCTCGAGCGTTTCTGAATGATCTGTGCGGCGGCGTGCATGTGTGGCCTCTTTACAGTATGCGATTCCTTTGTCTTTCCTCGCTCACATGCGTGCAAGCGTGTGTGGAAAAAGCGAGGGAGATGGAGGAGAGAGAGGGGAAAAAAAAAAAAAAGGATGCAGTCTTCTCTGTAGTGTCAGCCTTTGATCAGTGTCCCTGTGTATATTTCTATGTGTGTCTGTGCTAGTGTGAGCCAACCCCTGGTGTCTTGGAGGCAGATGAAACACTGCGCCTCTATCCGGGACTCACAGAACACCCACTATCCTCCTCGCCTTCTCCTTTACTCTCCCCCCCCACCGCCACTCCTCCACCCCTCTAACTATCATTCCTTACCACAGCCATTTTAAAGGCCATTCATGCAGAGCCGCGCTTTCATCTTGCATTGCTGCGTTTTGACCAGCTCCTCTTATTTTTTATTTTTTTTTTTTCCCCGAGCCTTTTATCAGATTATAGAGGATGGGGAGGACGGGTGAAGGGGCCCGCTGTTGTACGCTGACTCATAGTCAGATGGACGCAGCATGGAGGTGCAGCAAAGACAACGGCTTCGGCGATAGCGCGAGGATCTTGGTTGTCTGGGAGCTTTGCGCGGCTCGGTGTTGTGTTTCATTACTACACCTGCACAGCGTGGATTGTTGTTCGGCCTAAAGAGCAAAACATTTCTATCTTTTAGCATCTTATATTACTCTTACTGCCATGTTATGTGCAAGAAACTACACTGACATAGAAGTATTGCCTTAATTAGCTTAATGAATGACCTCATTAGCATAATTGGTTATGTTTAATATATCATGGTGATTACAGTGGGGCATTAGGCGGCTTATTTGCCTCTTGTTTGTGCTTGGCTTAATTAATGCACCCAAACATGCTGCTTATTTGTCATCTTTTAAAAAAAAGCAGCAAAAATGAGGTTCTGACTGAGGTGTGCTTTGATCCCTTTTTTTTTAATTTTATGGATCATTTAAGATAAATATTAATTACTTTTGGTTGTGCTTGAAGAAGAATATTATTGATTAATGTGGTGGGCTTTATTTCACCCTCAGTGCCGCATGCTCGAGTCTTTTTTTTGGTCACATGAAAGTATGAATATGTATTTATGTACAAAAGGTAATCAGGTAATAGGCCTGAAAAACAAATCTGATTCCTTTACTCTGCATGAGCTGGTTTCAGTTGGCTAGTAATGAGCCCCCTGCCCCTCCCAGAGCTGGGGAAAAAAAAATCCCCTTTCAGCAGTTGGCAGACAACCCCTGCAGTGTGTGCTCCGAGGTTTATGTAAAGAAGTTTTATAATCCAGTTGCAGTGTTTACATGTAGGTGTACCTGGTGTGCAGGTTGGTGCCGGCGGATGAATAAACGTGTAAATATCATTAAATTTGTCCCCTCTTTATTCCATTTTTTTTCCTGCCCTTCTTGTGTTTAGTATCCTAATTGCCAATCAGTATAATTCACATGTTCTCTCTGTTCCCTCAGTGTTCAGGCGCAGTTACAGCCACTTCATATTCATGCCATGATTGTGTGCGTCAGTCTTTGTGTATTTTTAGGCAAATGTGCTCTTTAGTATTTCTGTGATGTTCAGAGAAAGTGCAGGTTGTATGTCTTGTTTCCGCCACACGGTGGCCCTTTATCCATCTGAGTAGGATGCCTAAGAAGTTGTCTGTAGTGAGGTCTAGTCAGGGTAATGCTCAAGTCTCTGAACTTTTACAAAGATTCCCGTTGCTCGTATTTTTTTGTGTGTAATTCCTGATAGTATTGTTAGTTGTTAGATTGGCTTTCGTTTGTTGGTTTTATGAATATGTATGTAGAATGATCATTGTGTAGTCAACATAACAGGCAGCTTACGTTCATATTTTATATTTTCCTTCTTGATCTCACACATAAAGACTCATAGCTTGTGTCTTTAACCACACAACTACTGTATAAACAACAATTAACATCCTCGCCTGAGCTAGTAACACCCGAGGTTTCCCAGTAGACAGTTGCATTATAAGAAAATTAGCAATAGTAATCAATTCACCAGTCAGTCGTTTTAATGTTGTGATTGAATAACTGAAGACAGTCACACCTCTCTAACAAGCTACCTGCCTAAGCCTGTTTTATAATGTAGCTGGCACTAAACAGAGGAATAGATGAACAGTGGATTGGGAAATGCCCAAGATCTTGATACCACTAATTAGGCACCGTAGCAGACTACATACTGTATGTTTGTGTTAGCCCGGATCCTGGCAGATAGCAGTATACAAGTGTTTAACAACTACAGTATCGGCTTAAAGGACGACCTTTCCAGTGCACCTGTCTTTAATATAGCTCTAATTAGAACTCCCATTAGCATCTCAGAGGCTGCCAGTTAATGGGCACTTAAACAGGAAAGATTTAGGTCTTTGGTGGAACAATCGAAGCTACTCAACAGTAATCATCAGAGGCAAATGTCAACTAACAACAAAAAGGGTAAGCTATTATTACAGTGCCTTGATGAATGGATGGGAAGCTTTGAGGAATGTTCGGTGCTTCATCATTCCACGAGGGAAATTTGATTCTCAAAGAGCAATTCATGTCACTTGTTAACACATGAAACAGCAGTCATTAGAAAAGATAATGAGGAAACTTAAACTCAACTCCCGAACTTTAAACCCAGTGAGATTAGACAAAGTATTGAACAGTGTGCAAACAGTGCCGGATGAACAGGTTGGGTGTTCTGAGTAGATACGGTCCACATCACATGTGCAGATTAGGTGCCTGCATAGATCTCTGTTAAGTCACTAACAGTAGTTTTTGGGTCTTCATAGATATGGTCGGCAATATTCTAGATTGTTAGCAAATGTCACCAAAGCCAGCAATCAAGGCCTCTCTCTTTGTGTTCCTTATGCTGGGGTAGGAAGTCTTTTAATAGCATCATTTGGCCAAATTTCCATCCTAACCTTTCTTATTGGAACTCAAATGGTATGAATGAAAACTAGACTTCTGCCCCTCCTTTTGGCTCCATTTTCAGTCTTTGTAAAATCGACCCTTTCTTTATCCAAATACAGATCTTCACCTGTATCAGATTTCTTACTACTCCAGCTTTAAATGTAGACACACATGCAAAGGTGCTTGTCCTCTTATAATGTTAGATGGGTGAAATTGGTACAAAGCAAAGACACCAGTGTTTTGGTACTTTGGCTGTACTGTTTAAAGTTAACATAAACCTCATATATAGGACCTAAAGTTTACTACAACTGCAGGAAATAAACTGTACTACAGGGGTGTAATCGACAACACAAATGTCATACCATTGGCTACACTACACATACAAAACAAATGAAAGGTTACCACCTAATACAAGCATACCACTTAAAAAACTTATGGTGCTATAGTATGCAACAGAAGCTACACGCCTTCCCAGTTCATAAAATCATACTACCTGGTGGTCATGGATGCACCCAAACTAAGAATACAACTGAAATCCAATGTGGTAGAAATGAAACAAGATAACATGTGCGTGTGTGTTGGGGACTATTTTCAGCTGCAGATTGATACACATTTGATGCTCTGGTGAGAGATTGCAGCAGCAGCAGCACGAAGGACTCGAGCTAAACTAACCACGTTAGCTTTAATAAAGGAACATTCACCCAGTGCACCATCTGGCTCATTCATGGATTTTTAATATTTTGTGAACAACAGTGGTGCTCTGTGGCACACAAGAAAAAGCTGAAGCGGTTGTTGCTTTTTGTTGGCGCATTCCCACAGTTCTAAGGCTTTAACCGAAGCCTCTAACTAAAACATTTGTTTTTTTTTAAACTGAATAGTGTGTCATTTAGTTCAGCTAATTTGGAAAGTGAGTACCTGATAAATGTATTCTTACTTCTTGTTCATGTATCAGCTGTTTTTACTTTTTCATCACTGGAATAGGAAAAGGGATGTTGTGTCATATTGGAATTTTATGTAGTCACTTGACTTTCAGGTTCCTTGTATTGCATACGCTGGGACACTTTCACACAACTGAAAAACTGCAGATTTTATTGGCACCACCTGTCTTTCTCTATTGTGGCAAGTCAACAGGTTTGCTGGGTAAAAGTCTACCGGTAAAATCTTCTGTATATTTTATGCTACAAAACCATTGGTAGAGTTTGAAAAAAGAAAACAGAAAATGATACATCACAAGCATAATGTGTCATCATTTGTAATCCAGTTATGCGTGTGATTCAGATCACGGGGCCACCTATATTCCTCGGAGTGCAGGCTGCTGTACTCTAAGTGGCTTTGTATAAAAAGTCTCTGCTGAGCAGCATTAGAATAAACGTCATTAAGAGAGGAGCTAATGAGCACTTTCTTCTCTCACTCCCTTTGCTTTCTCTGTGCGCCGGCTGTGACTCCTTGTTGATGGATGACGCCGTTGCACACTCGAACACATACACACTTGTTCTCTGCAGTCCTGCAATTCCCTCCCCGTCAGAAGCTGATTTACAGGCCAAAGTAGAGATCATTTGCTATAGAGGTACTAAATACTAAAGGTGCTGATGCTAACGTCATTTTGACTCTCTGTTCTCTCTTCATTCTCCTTCCATTTATGCATCGCTCCTTCCTCTGTCTTCTGCTCCCACCTGTCCTTGTCTCTCTCTTGAACACACTCCCTCACCTTCATCCATCTTTCTGCTCCACAAACAGGCTTCCTCAGTACCGGAGATCAGTCCGCTAAGGGAAACTACGGCCTGCTGGACCAGATTCAGGCCCTGCGCTGGCTCAACGAGAACATCGGGCACTTCGGCGGCGACCCAGAGAGGATCACCATCTTTGGGTCTGGAGCCGGGGCGTCTTGCGTCAACCTCCTCATCCTGTCACATCACTCGGAGGGTAAACTTAATGCTGTGTTGTGTTGTTTGGTTGTTGTTTTGATACAGCGTTGATATAGATAGAACAGCCAAGCACAGTGTCCAACACTCATGGGATTTGAGGAATATTGTGTTTTTTGGCTTTATTTTGGTTCCATCCCAGTGTATTATTAACCATACATTTCTTGACCAATGGATTGCTGGTACACAAGTTAATTTCATAATTCCATCACTTGTGAATCAGTGATGTTTCCGTTCTCATTTTACATTATTTCTTGCTAATCCCTGAAAAGCATGCTTACACAAAAGTACTTATCTTCAGTGTACTATACAGTATTTATTTGCCTTGCTTTATTTAATGACCAGCGTGATCACAGCAGAAAACTCTTGGCCAGATGGAATCACAGTCAGCAGCATCCAGCTCAGAAACTGTGAAGTCCTGTGATGTTCACTTGACACCTCTGTCCTCAAAGGAAAACGCTGCTTGTCCTTTGAACTGAAGAATTTAAGCAGTCGTGTGGATAATGAGCGAGTCCGGGTTTGATCCAGGTTGTGTCACTCATGTCTTTGGATGATAAATGACACGAGCGCTCCAACATTAGCCCACATTACCGGCCTTGCTGAGCGCTCCTGGCTCTGTTAACGGTCCCCTGCTCTGTAGCAGGAAGACTCCACCTCCGTGGAAAACCTACATCTATCTGACCTCATGCTCCCCATTACCAACAACACACCCCGAGGGCTAAGTGTTAATATTGCACCACCAAAAGACAGAGGCCTACGGACCAGTCGACTTTGATCTGAATTGAGATCAGTGTGTCTGACGATCCGCAGCCAAATGGTCACGCACTCGCCGCCTTTGATCACGCTGTTCTTGAAGCTGTCCTCCTCCCGATCGTAACTTCTCTGTTCTCGCTGCTGCTCGAGGACTCTCCCTCAGTATCTCTCTCCTCTCTTCATTTTCTCGCACACACACAAACTGCAAAGGACAGAAACAGGGAAGAAATGGTGGGTGAAAAGAAAGAGAGAGATTAGAGGGAGCGTGTTCACACAACCACACATCTGTTTCAATTACGGCTCCGGGCGCGTGTATGTGTGTCCGGGGCACCGAGCAGACGTCTGACTCGTCTCTAATTTTGACTCATTGTGTCTGCATAGATGTGCCTTGAAAACCAATATGTGTCGTCAAAGCTTGAGCGAGCATCTGTGTGCCGCTGCATCCATCAACACTGCCTCTGTGATTGACACTGATGTTTGTTAACCCTTCGTATCAACCCACCAACTTTTCTCACGTACTGGTAGGTGAACCACTTCGCATCTAAAAATCCTCAACTGAGAGCAGTGGTCGCACATCTGGAAGTGAAAATGCAACGTGTGCTGACTTTATCTTTTTAATTATACTGGATCTAAAAACAGAAAAAATACAAATATCACGAGAGAAATCTGTTACGAGCTGGCATTGCAACCCAAATAACCTCCACTAATCAGCCTCCATCGAAATTATTATCACCTCTGGGATGAAGTTTGCAATTCAACCGCATATTGTTTTAAGAATAACACCAAACAATGTCTTGTATGGAAATAAAAAGAATCTCTGAAAGAAGGGCTCACATGCAACCCAAAATCTGTCAGATAGAACAAAAGATTTTCATTGGTCGCACTGGTACACCTGATCTGTCTGTCTTTAGTCAGCCCAGGTGGTTAAAATCATATATTTTCAGCTTTGATCAATCTGACATTAGAGTGCCTTATTCAACTGTTTTCTACTCCATGTCTAAGTTGCTGGTAACGAAGCAGGGCCTAGCGTCTTCTCTGTGCACAACCACCTTGTAGCATCTATCAATGCTGGTGAGGCATTTATGGAACATCCGTAAATTGTAGCTTCAGAAAAAAAGCCAGGGTTACGTTCGCTCCCTCTTTACTGCTTGAGTTTCTGCATTTTTATCAGTCATGCCATGCCACTCACTACCACAAGTAAAATCTCAACCTGCAGGAAAACTTTATGGATTGCATTTCTGGCAAAGAGTGCAGCCAAAGCATGGCAAGGGACGGCGCTCTTGCTGTTGAAGCACTGATGGCTCCAAATTGAAATGTTAAAAAAGCACCATGTCTCTGCCGTCAATGTCTTTGTGCTGTGACAATTGCCTGGCCGGCAGAGCAGCCCTCCTCCCTGGAGCTTTTCAGTGCCAGGCAGCAGGAAGCTGAAGCAATGAGGAGTCAGAAATGACAATAAGATCCAATGCTGCCCAAAATATAGACAACGACAAGCTACCTTTTCTAAATCCTAGATCAGCCTCGTGTAAATTAGAGGTTAAATGTGCAAAAACATCCATCTGCACTTTTATGACTGTTTACAATCATAAACATGATGTGTTAAGAAATTACCAGCTGACTAAAATGTAACTCAAACATGTTATATTGGGCGACAAAATGTGCAATGAAAAGTCTCTAGTGCACATAAATGACAAGGTCAGGCACACCAGTACAACCAGTGTGAAAAGTTGGTGTACAGCCTGGTTAAAGGAAAACTTAACGATCATTAGCCTAGCTTAGCATAAAGAGAGGAGACAGATGTAAATGTCTAGCCTGATAAACGCTTGCCTTCAGGCCATCTTGCATGCTGTGATTGTTATCTTTAGATTTTCTTTGCGTTTCCCTTTGTGTAAGGATTCCGCAAACAAGATGTGTGTTAATTAATGAACCTAAGACGTGTTTTTTTCTAACGTACTGTGCTTCCAGCCTTTATGCTAAGCTAGGCCGATTACCTCCCAGCTTCAGCTGCTGAATGAGAAGACATAAAAGTCAAAGGAAGTCATCTCTTCATCAAAATTCAAATAATGTCTATTTGGTCTTCGATGGCAACCAGAACCACTGACAGCTATTGTAGTGTTAATTGTTGAGGGGAGCCCTACTTTGGCGAACGCTACTGTTTAGAAAAATGTATATTAACCCCCTTGTCTCTTGTTCCTGACATCCAACCCCATCCCCTCCCCCAACCCCACTGTCACCTGTCCATTGTCATGCCTCCGCTTTGTCATCACCGCATCGTCATCTTCATCAGCATCTAACGGTGTAACATCAGCCCACTAGACGCCGCCTGTCTGTCATGCTCACCCCTCCTCTCTGTCCCCCCCCCGCCAGGGATGCCAGGTAAGGAGTCTGTCATCCTCACGCTTACGGGACACCAATCATGTCCACAACACCGTGTCACAAATCAAGCCCGACAGCAGAGACGTGCAGGATGGATAGCAGGATGGAAGTGGCAGACGGGACGGAGGGACGGGTTGTTAGTGATATGATGAAGGGTGTGGCGAGGAGACGGTAGTAAACAGTGTCCATGCACGGTGTTAAGAGCGGTGGGAAGACAAGGAGGTGGTGGCAGTAATACCAATGGAGCAGAAAGAGAAGAAAGGCGAAAGAAAAATAGAGGGAAGTGCAAAGCAGGGATGGCAAGAGGCGCTTAGGGAGTGACAAAGAAACTGATTTTGAAGACGAATATAATATACCGACCTCTCTCCGTCTGTCTCTCGCCGTCTGTCTCTGTCTGTGCTGATATGTAGGTGTAGCTGTTTCCAAGCTACTTCTTACTATAATTGATTTCCCAGGGAAAGGAGGCACTGCGGTTCTGCTTAATAATTAACTGACCGATCTTCAGCCCAGGAGAGGGGAGGAAAAAGAAAAAAGGGAGCGCAAAGAGGAAACGAGTGGGGCAGGCGGCCCCTTAACGAGCCACTTGAGTGGTTCAAACGGCACAGGACAGGCAGAACTAAGGAGACAGAGAAGGAGACAAAGAGGGGAAGGGAGATCTATCGCAAGAGAGAGGCTGAGAGAACAAACAGCTGCCACAAGAAAGAGGAAAATGGATCTTTTCACCTCTCAGATGAGCTTATTCCCAGTCCTGCCTCTGGTTTTTTTTTGGGGGGGGGTTCAAAGCTACAACACCAGAGCATGCTCCATCACTGATGCTTTGGGTCTGTAGTCTCATCCCGTATCCACCAGCTTTTCTCTAGTGAGAAAGATAAGACAAAAAAGAAAAATCTCAATTTGCAGAGCTTTAATATAGGGAAGTTCCAACACTGGGAAAAGAGAAAGTTTATGCAAGTTGTACATCAAGGATTCTCTGTGTCCTGTTTGAAATGCACCATCCTGCCTGCAAAAATAAAAAAAATAGGGAAAATGCACAACATTTCGTGGCCACACCAACATTTCTTCATATTTTAGGAATCTCCTGTCAATAATTAATATATCCCTCTCTCCTCTCTGTCCTTTCAGGTCTGTTCCACAGGGCCATAGCCCAGAGTGGAACGGCTATCTCCAGCTGGTCCGTCAACTACCAGCCCCTCAAGTACACCAAGATCCTGGCCCGCAAGGTGGGTTGCACCTACACGGAGACGGCCGACCTCGTTGACTGCCTCAGGCGCAAGAATTTCAGAGAGCTGGTGGACCAGGACATCCAACCGGCCCGCTACCACATCGCATTCGGTCCGGTGGTGGACGGAGACGTGGTGCCCGACGACCCGGAGATTCTCATGCAGCAGGTGGGGGGGTCTGTCTTAGCTGGATTTTTTTTTTTTTTTATCATGATGGCTTGAGATGTGCTAAAACACCAGACAGAAGAGAACACGAAAAGAAGGTGTGAGTGTGACCTTTCCACAGAGTTAGGATCTGGCGGTGATGTTTACCAGTTGGTGTGAACTCACACCCCGCAAAGCTGTAAGAGGGTGAAAAGTGACTGGTGTGCTGCACGTTGACTTGGTGGCATGTAGGGTTCACAGCCTCTTCTTCTCATGATCCCTTTATACAATACATGGGCTCAAGAACCTTGTCATCAAAGGGTACATGTTCTTAATCAGAGATGGATTTTCTCTTTGAGTTTCATTGAATTTTCTGCAGATTTGGGCACTGCTACATTTTACAATCACATGTTTTTCTGAACAGGAAACTGTCTTTACTGACTATTGCATGTTTCAGGTGAACTACACATGGATGAGAGCAGGTCACAGTGTTCAAAGTCAAGGTGGATAGTCCTAGCAGCCTGTCCATGAAGCTACAGAAATACACCATTTTATTAATTGACACCCCACCACCAACATCAATTTGCACTGATAGTTTTAAGTATGAAAAGGTGACCTATTGAAACGCTATATAACTGATCTGGGACCTCTTTTTTATGTGAATTCTCATCAGACATCAGCAGACCTGTCCCTCTAAAAGGACAGAAATAAATAGAAAACATTGATAAATGGTCAAATATAGTAGAAATAATCGAGACAACAACTTTCATCACTGATCTGTGGGATGTTCAGACTGTACAGATGTGAGGCTTTCATTTAATCTCCACATCCCTTAACAGACGCTTTGGTGGTGCTGCAAGCCTTGAAAATCAGCCAAATAAGAAGAAAACCTCTCAAGTTTAATTAAAAAGAAAAGTTTCGATCAAACGACATATTGTTGAGTCAACATCCAAACCAGGAACAAAAGGAGTGTGACTGTTGCAGCTGCTTTGTTATTCAGCTGCTAGAATCTCCTCATAGATCCCCAAAAGCATTCATAATCTGGAAGAAATCGTTAGAGGTGAACGTGAGCAAGTTTTCCGGTTTTGAGCTCGTGCTGTGGAGTAACTAACATTTGAGGCATCTGCTATGTTATGATGAATTTAAAGAATGCGTCTCAAGAAATTCTATACACTAAAACCAGAAACCTGCATCTTTACATTTCTTGGTATAAATATCCCAGAAATAAAAACAGTGTGAACAATTTCACCTTACAGATAAATGCACTCGATTTATTTGTGTTTAAGCGTCATTTGTGGTTGCAGATTTCTGTGCAGTCAATACAACGTCATCATGTTCTGCTCTTGTTGCACCACTAGGGGGAGTTCCTCAACTATGACATCCTAATAGGAGTGAACCAAGGAGAGGGGCTGAAGTTTGTAGACGACAGTGAGGACAACGACGGCATCTCCGCCGCAGCGTTCGACTATACCATCTCTAACTTTGTCGACAACCTCTACGGATACCCTGAGGGTGAGGAATGAATTCGATGACTCTGTCAGTCGTCAAATTCTTCCATTTTGTGTCCCCCACCCCATCTCAGCATGATCACTGTTTTGGCTTATTAGGAGCTCCGTTAGCTGACATGTTTTTGGCATCATTAAAATACTGAAACCAAAAGAGAACATTTTCAAAAGTATAAAAGCGCGGTCGTATAAATAGACAGTATGTGCTATTATCAAAGTTCATTATAGATATATGTCCTCATGCCTAATATGTCACATTACGGTTCTGCTTCTTAGGATTCTTAAAACACAGCTTATATTAACATCAGCTTTCAAATAAAAAAAAAAAGAAAATACATCAACAACTCTTGATCTGCAGCTCCCTGTGGAAATACAAGTCTTTAAAACATTATGTGGGCAAAGAATGAAGAAGAGATAAAATGTGAACCCAGTGAAGTGTATCAACCAAGACAAGCATACTAAAGAGATTGCCTATCATGGAGATTATCTTTCACCGTAGTGGGTCTGTGCTTTGGCCTTTGAGGCTCTGTGGGCTCTAATGCTGTCGCTCATCATCCCCCAGGCAGCCGGCTCCCAATCACAGTGCTGTTGTTCCTAACAGATCAGCCTGCAAACGCCTCACAGCGGGCCACAGTCAAAATACAGACACGTTTGGATAATGTAGTCACGCTCCCTTGCAATTGTCTGTCACTCATTCTGCTTTCTCAGAGGCATATTTTCCCCGTTTGGGATGCTCGTCCTCTTCTTTCAGTTTCTCTCTCCTCTCCATTTATCTCTTTTTTTTTTCCATATTCCTGTAATTCCAGCTCATCAACAAACGTGAGCTTTTTTTTTTCCGTCTGTTTCACATCACCTCCCTCATCTATCAATATTTTCCATCGCTGTTGTTACTATACTCTTTACTTATCACACTTTTCTCCTTGTTCTCTTTACCTTTTGTTCTCTGTCCCTTTGTTTTCCCCTCCCACGTCTCATCCTCCAGGCAAAGACATCCTGAGGGAGACCATTAAGTTCATGTACACAGACTGGGCAGACAGGGACAATGGAGACATGCGGAGGAAGACTCTGTTGGCTCTGTTTACCGACCACCAGTGGGTGGCTCCGGCAGTGGCCACAGCTAAACTCCACGCTGAATTTCAGTCCCCGGTTTATTTTTACACATTCTACCACCACTGCCAGACAGAAACGCGACCCGAATGGGCTGACGCTGCCCATGGAGATGAGATACCTTACGTGTTTGGCGTACCCATGATCGGTGCCACAGACTTGTTCCCGTGCAACTTCTCCAAGAATGATGTGATGCTGAGCGCCGTGGTCATGACGTACTGGACCAACTTTGCCAAGACTGGGTAAGCCTATTTTATAATAACATATATTAATGTCTCTTAAGTAGTGGTGTGTAGGTATATTGAGGATTTTTGTTTCATTTCCCCAAGCATATTTGAGTGAAGTTAAGTTAAGAGTTTAGTGCCTTGTTTTACTTTGATATAAGTTCATAAATAGAACCTTAGAACACCAGATTGTATTCAGAGTTTTGATGTCAACTAAATCACCTTTAAGAACGATTGATTAAAATCCTTAACTGACGCCTGTAACCACTTCTGTGCTCCACTAGGGACCCAAACTTGCCAGTTCCACAAGACACCAAGTTTATTCACACCAAGCCCAACCGCTTTGAAGAGGTCATCTGGACCAAGTTCAACTCAAAGGACAAGCAGTACCTCCACATCGGCTTAAAACCTCGTGTTAGAGACAACTACAGGGCCAACAAGGTGGCTTTCTGGCTGGAGTTAGTCCCCCATCTTCATAGTCTACATGAGGACCTCTTCCCCACCACTACTCGCTCGCCGCCGGGCCCTGGCCCTGGTACCCTCAGACCCTGGCCCAAAACTCCAGGCCCTCGTACTACTCGCCACCCCTACCCAACCTTCCCCTCCGATCCTGAGCCTGAGGGTTCAGAGCGTCCACACCAGGACCTCTTCCCTCTAAACACCCGTGACTACTCCACTGAGCTGAGTGTGACGGTTGCCGTGGGAGCGTCGCTCCTCTTCCTCAACATTTTGGCCTTTGCCGCCCTTTACTACAAGCGTGACAAGCGGCACGAGATGCGACGACACCGGCTCTCTCCACAGCGGGGCGGCCCTGCCAACGACCTGGCTCACAGCCAGGAGGAGGAGATCATGTCGCTGCAGATGAAGCACTCAGAACACGACGCCCACCACGACATGGAGCCCCTCCGGCCCCACGACATTCTACGGCCCGCCTGCCCACCTGACTACACGCTGGCGCTGCGCCGCGCCCCCGACGACGTGCCGCTGATGACACCGAACACCATCACCATGATCCCTAGTACCATCACCAGCATGCAGCCTCTCCATGCCTTCAATACTTTCCCCTCCACCGGCCACAACAACACCCTGCCGCACCCCCACTCCACCACCAGGGTATAGTAGGGACTGGCCCGACTCAGCGCCACCTAAGGACCAGGAATACTGGCTTTGCTACTTATCTAGAAGGGAGGCCTCTGGATGTGGGCCTTTGTTCTGTTCTATAATTCTCTCGTTTCTCCAAAAGCAACTCCACCTCCTCCATCATGTGCTGTGAAACTCAGCAGCTCCCTCCACTGGTGGCATGTGGAGACGTAACTGAACTGCGCAGCAGCAGATGGGCAGTCTGGGGGTGACTTAGATCTTTCAAAGATACTGTTTTCAGAGATGGTCTTGCTGTTTCCAGACTAAAGGCCCCCAGCATTATCAACGGGACGAATGCTTTTTGCCCCTTGCTGTTTTCTATTTTTTACTTTGGTGTCATCTCTTTTTTTTCTGTCCCTGGTGTGTTACGTGCACATATCTTTCTCTTTTCTACATCTGTGTCTTATTATCGCTTTATTCCTCTCATTTGACCTATTATTCTCTCCTTCGTCACGATGCTCCTTTGCTCCAAGGATTCATGTTCAACTCGAGTCGGAGGGGGCATAGAGTACGTACAGTAAACTTATAGCTACGAAAACAACGATATCTGATACTTTCATTCTACCAGCATTCTTGGTGCCAAGTATGTACTACTGTGTTAGCGTTCTCATCGAGGGAGAAAAAAAGTAAAGAAAATTCTAGATTATTCCTATTTACTGTCAAACTAACAGAGGCTGTGTGTTCTCACGACAAAGTGCCAAACTGGCCCTCGATTGTGTTTTTTCTTTCTTTCATCTTGTTTCTTTTTTTTTTTCAGGCATTTGTTTAATTGTTGTTTTTTGTGGAAAGATTTTTTTGCTGAAAATATAGATATAGAGAAATGATATTATATATAGTTATATATAAATGTGTACAAAGGAGAAAGTATATAAATGGGTTTTCTCAGTGGGGATCTATGCATGAATTATTTTTTAAAGATGATGAGACGGGGGGGAAAGGACACCGTATCTGTCAATGCACGTTTCCCAAATCTAATCAAATCATATCGGTCCACTTTTAATAGTTTGATCTTTGTTTTTCTCTCACAGAAGTAAGAGCATCTCAGAAATTCCTGAAGTCACTGAACAAACAACCTGCACCTCCCAACGCTCATTTATTTAAAAAAAGAAAAGAAAAAAAAAAAAGAGTCATCACCCCCGAATCTCAGAAGATGTTACAGTCAAAGCAACGGCTGTGAACACGCATTCATTCTCTCCTTTAATGGTGTTATTCACGGGTATTTCTCCAACCACAGGATGCAGCAGGCCAACAGAAAGCCCATCGTCCTACAGTAGCTAGTTTTCCTTTCCGTCTGTGTGGAGATGATCAGGGTACAGGAGGTACTAAATCTGTTGTTGTAGCTTGCTTGTACAGAGTTATTTTTGTATTTCAGTGAGAAACATAGCAGAGAGAGGGAGCCTCTGTTCCTTTATGTACACCTTCCCTCTCCTGTCTGCCCCCCTATTTCCAGCACATGCATTTCTTTCTTTTTTTTTCCCGGTTGTGTGCTTGCAAGAGAGAGTGTGTGTGTTAGTGTGTGTGTGGTATCAGAACTGTTCTACACGGGCGTAGGTGGGCCCTAATTAGACAACAAAGAGATAGAGAGGCAGACAGGCAGGATAACCCCAATGGTAAAAACTCCAACATGAGCTCCTTCCTTCTGCTTACCCAGACACCCCTCTGTGCATCATCACCACGCCTCCTTCCTCCATCAGCACCTCGGTATTCGAGACCCCCATCGCAGCGATCACCCATAACTCCACCGTCATGATCGCAACGGTCCGAAACACCTGACTTCACTGTCGTTCCACATTATTTCTGACCTCAGTTCAGCTCCTCAACATTCAAGGGTTAGTTCACTAAGCTAGTTTTCTTTTTCTTCTTCTTTTTTTTTTCGAGCTCGTCGGTTGTAAATTAAACTCTAAGCACACTGAGGGTAACTGGTGGGCCTTCGACGGCCTGCGGCGCGGGGCTGTAAGATGAAAAGGGGGCTCGGATCTCCTCAACAGGGTAAAAGCGACGCAGCTGCTTCTGATTCTGCTCCTTTCTTTCTGGTGAGAACATGCAGGCCTACAGCTCAGCAATCCCCCCCCTCCTCCCCTCCCCAGTGATTCTCTGATAAAGATGTCAAACACGGATCATGGGTAATACTCTGGTTAATACAGTATGAACTGATGTGCTGCTGTTTGAGCCTACAGGAACCCGTGGTAGCTTACAACCAGTATGGGAGAAGTTAGTCACCGGTGCTGTCTTTGCTTGTGCTCTAGCTTTAGCCTGTTTGATTGTTTGTTTTCTATTTTATTACTGCCTAAAGGGGTGGCGGGTGAGGACTGGACGGGGAAATAAATACCTGGCTGCTCCTGTCAGAGATTTTGTAAGCCCACTGCAAGGGAAATGTGCACAATGTAAATCACTGAACAACTGACTTGCAGGTGGATGAAACGCTGCAGAACGGAGCAAGAAAAAGGGGGGCATGGAAAAGACTTACAGCCTTAAATGTAGAAACTAGAATCAGAGGTATCCAGAGAGGACGGGACTGATCACGAGCAAATAAGGACGTTCAAAGGTATGGCCATCTTTCTTCCCACAACGCTTGCCAGGAGAATACCTTGCTAATCTGTCTGCGGGGGAACTGATACGTCCATATGAACCCTTTTGTACTCACTCCTGTGGATAAGTAGGCAGTGAGGGGGTCGCGAAGGAAACCTCACCTCAACACAGCTACAACGGCACCACTGGAGCTGAGAACAGAAACAAGGTATTTGGTTTGGGTCTGTTCTTTTTCCTTGTCTATTTTATAAGCTAACACCGGAGGGCGCCATTGTGACAGATTCAATGCAGTCGGCCCACTCTGAGGAAACCGGATGCGTGAAGAAAAATACCAAACTTGGGCGGCAGGACGGAGACAGACACAACATCTGGATAGAGGATCAAAACTGTACATTTTTAAGTGTAAGAATCAAACAGACAAAAATATTTGTAAATATTAAGTTTCTTGTTTGTTTGTTTTTGTTTTTTTGTTTGTTTTTTGAGTGAATGAATGATATGCTTATTTTGTGACAACAGAAGACAACAGGTGCAGTTTGCGAAGAAATGGCTGAAACAACGCTTTCCACCCATCGGTTTTCGTGGTAGTGAGGAAAAAACAAAACAACAACAAAAAAAAAAGCTATCTACGCTGAACTTGTTTTCATGTTGCCCGTTATCATGTGGGCATCCTGTAGCATCATGAAAATCACTGTAGCAGAATTCATCGCCGCTGATGCCCCCACACGACAGAGGGCCAAAGATACTGTAGTTAGCATTAGCTAGTTCCCAAGAAGTGACACATTTTAATTTTAGAAAAATACTTTCTGTGAATTCATTCATCTTTGTTGCAGGACTGTAGTACAATCGATGACTCTACGTCTTTCTTGCTTCTTTTTTTTTTTTTTTCTCTCGAGCTTTTATTTTGAAATATATCTTATGATCCAAGTATGCTCCTGATGAATCTGTGCTGCATGATGTGTATGACTTCAGACTATTTGTGTAAACACTTCAGAGGCTAAGAGCACTGATAAAAGCCAGCTTTGCCTTTCGATGATCTACGGTCAGGACGTAAACCAAGCTAAACCGAGACACTAAACACAAGTGCAGTCGATTAAATGTGAGCTCACTTAACATGTAGCAGTGTTTACATGTAGCCACTTAATTACATGTGGGACAGACATGAGGGCTTTGATACCATAAGATGCCTCATATTCTCATCGAGTAACGAGACCACACAGGTGGTCCGGCTTCGTCATTCCACACACTGTGTTGTACCGTGGTCATGGAGGTTGGGTTTCTCTCGCAGTGATGTAGCAGAAAGCAGTCTCGTGTTCTCAACAGCAGAAAAAATAGTAAGTAGATCGGAAAGGTCTGTCAGACTCTGAGCATTTGTGTCTCACAGCGGATTAGTCCAGATGTATGCGGACACACACTTAGCCTCTTCTATGCTATAAAGGGACTCACTGCAGCCTCGTGGCTCACACAGTTGCGGCTGCATTTCAGTTATATGGTACACAACAGAACAGAGTGCAATATCACTTGAAAAATTGTGTCACTTCTCAATAATTGCATTGTTTCTAAACTGACAAGGAGGGTTTTTATAAAGAGAGACATTTATAGACTATATTAAAAACACAGGCTCCAAAGTAGAAACTCAGTTCCCCTGACACACAAACCTGTTATTAATTAACCCAACCGCATGAACTGTGAACATCAGAACTTTGTCAGTTTTATGCCTAAAGTCTGCGTCTATCTGGAAAATAATCGAAATATCTGACTGTGAGACGAAAAATCTGCTAATCTATAGTTGCAGCGTTTATCAAGAAGTATGGAACCCGCAGTACTTGAACTCATCACTAGTTTTCTTGGCATACGGCACGTTTGGTGTGAACCAGGTCAGGACGACCACAGTTAGTCCTGACAGTGAAGCACAGAGGTGTTAATGTGACGATATGAAGCTGCACGAGTTCAAAAGGTGTTGGCGTGAGGACGTTTATAGATGGCGCAATGAGTGCCTGTGAACATACTAAAAATACTACCTTTTTGAAGAAGAAGAAAATATACCATGACCATGTATGTCACCTGACTTAAATCTCATAGAACACGTTTGGGGAATTTTAAACTAAAAGGTAAAGCAGCCTAACCACTCCAACAAAGACTAGATTTAAAATAAATCAATGTCTTAAAAGAATGGCAGAACATCCTGTGACATTTTTTGTATTTTCCATGAGGAGGATTGGATCTGTTGTAGAAAATAAAAGTAGAAAGTATTGATAAAAGGATGTGAATCTTAGTGATGACTGACTTTAGTTGCATTGAGTTTCTACTGTAGGGCCTGTTTGTTTGATATAGGAAATATAAATGGCTTTTTTTTTTTATTTGACAGAAGAGCAAACGTCCTACTGTTTAACTAGAAATAGTGCACCTACTGTAAGGTGATACAATTCAGAACATCTGTTGTATGCTGTTATTATTTCAACATGCTTCAAACCTGCAGCCAGCCAACCAATATGGCGTCACGTCACTAACGTCATGCAGAGATCCTGCGTCGGGGTCGAATGGCGTATGCAAGCACATGATTTAACGCTCCACAACGGCGAACATACGGATTAACAGTAAACCTTCAGCTGGGTCTCCGAATGCGAATTTGCACCTGTTGTCTTGTTTTTACATTCTTTGTTGAATTCAGAAACCCAAGACTTGAGACGAAGAAAAATGTTAAATAATGGAATTTTAAAAAAGATGATTATTACAAAAAAAAGTAAAGCAAAACTATATAAATAAATGAGGTGATGATATTTCTGTTTACTTTAGAAGTTATTATACACTGTATGCTGTGATTCTGATCTGGGAAACATTAAAGACATTCATAGCCAGACTGCAGATTTTGCGTCTTTATTCAGTTGGTGAACGTAAGTATGTAATATGTTGACAAAGATAAATGGTCCTTTATTTTCTTTAAAAGAAAAAAAAAAAAGAAAAGATTTGACATCATATACTTAAAAGAACACACTGATAAACAATAAAAGAGATTTCTGTTTATAAAAAAATCACATGACACCACGTTATGATTTGATTGCATCTCATCTTCTGTCATGTAAACATGTTGGTTATTCCACATTAAGAGCAGATGAGCGCTGAATGACTTTTTTCAAGTATATAGCATCAGAAAAAACAACCATTTTAAATTGAAAATGAGAAAGATCACATAAACAAATGTTGCCATAAATCGACTGAATGATATCGTAACCTATTGAAACTGTAAATATTTTCTGTCACATCCTTACAAAGAAAGAACATTTTAAAAAAACAATCACATTTCAGAGTGGCTGCTGTCATTTTGTCACTGTGATTAACTGTCTTTTGAAGAACTGTAGCCACCTCTCGGAAACCACATAAATGCAGAAATAGATACGCAGTTTGTATGTTCCGACTAGTGCTCCCAACATGGACTTTGACTCAACGTTGAAAAAACAAACCATGAGAATAAATGTAGAGAATAAATATCTCGATGTACTGACATCTTCAACCCTGTCATCTTATATACAGCATGATCCTATTTATGGTTTTAGCCTATGTGATATAAAGCAAAGCTCAAAACATCATTCAGAGATCGGTGATTGCATTAAGAAGACGTGTGCCTCTTTAACCACTAAGTGTGCAGTGTCTCCCTTGATGCCAAACGACTCTTTGAGGCTGGCTTCTGCCTGCTTGCGTGTGATTCGTTTCCATGTTGCAGGGATTTTTGCAGGCTTTGCGTTGTATTCTTTGGCAAACTCATTGTTGTACTTTGCCATTACATATTTCCAGTAGTCTGATGCCTCGAGGCTCACATCTGGAGCGATTTTCCAGTGTGGGAAGATCTCTTTGTAACGCTTGTAAGGATGCCATTCATTGTTTGTAGCATGACAGCGAAAACTGCTGTCCGTGTTTACAAGAGAGGAGCAAATGTCAGTGTCAAGTTTTTGTGATGAAATTAATCTGTATTGACCCAGACCTGTTGGCCGATGCAGCGAAGCCCAGTGCTCAGTGTGGGCTTTTCCTCCTGCATCACAAGGTGCTTCGCAGAATGGACACTGTTGGCCACATCCAATCAACTGGGTGAAAAGCACATTCTCCGACATCGCAAAAAGCTCTCCTACTGTCGTTACGATGTTGCTTTCTTGAAACTCTTTTCTAAGAGTTTGTCCCATCTCATTCACACACTTAGTGAGTGAATGAGCAAACTGTTCTTGGTTGGCATTGTTCAGGATCATGAAAGCACCAAGAGAATCCTGGGAAATTACCAGTTTATCACCAAGTTCCTTGCAGATATTTTGAACAAACATCTTCAAGTTGACACTTGTTCCCATTTTTGCCTTGTTGATAGCATCATTTATGCTGCTGATGCTTGACTTGAGATGTTGGTCCTTATATCTGAGTGTTGTAGACCCGTTTGTAAAGTGTTCCAGGATTTGACGGAGTATCTGTCTTTTCACATACTGCTCATATGAGAGAATATAGTGCAAATAGCGGCCAAAGTCATCCTTTGAGAGCAAATTCAGCAAAACTGTAAACTGGAAAAACATCCGGGTGCTGAACTGTTGGTTAGTCAGCATGTCAGCAATGACATCAGGACCCACGGAACGGTTGACAAAGTCTTTGACTGCTGGTTTCAGACACCGGTAGGTGAACTCCTCAGCCTTCTTCTGGCACTGGTCTCTTTTTTGGAACACATCTTTGAAATCAGCACGAAATTTGTCCTTGTTTCGACGCAGACATCTGTAGGGATCATTCACATTTAGGAAATCTTCATGCATTTTCTGAAAGTGTCTGGCGGCAAATCCACAGATGTGCTGTTTGAGAGAAACCTCCAACTTAGTGTCTGTCTTCACATCAGGATTGTTTTGGAATCGTTCATCAATGATGTGTAGGATCTCCTGGACGTAAGTATCATGGTAATCCGTTTTTCTTTGCAGTTTTTCTGCTATTAACTGTGTGCAAGCATCAATGATGCTGTCAACTATTTTTTGAACAGCCATTGTGTGATCTTTAACATTGAAAAATTTGTTCACTTTGTTTATAAAATGATTAAACAGTCCTTCAGTGGCATAGCTGTAAGGCTCTACTCCACAATCTTGCAGTTTTCTTTGACTCAGCAATTGACTTGCATGACTTCCCCTGTGTGACAGATTTGTTCTCAGGTGGTTGAACACACTGCTGTAGACGTCTTTGATTTTTCGCTTTGGGTAGGACAATTCCCTCTTTGTTTCATTCCAGATTTTGTCAAATTCTTCATCCAGTTCTTCATCTGTCATCTGCGTGGGTCTCTTACGACATTCTTCAATCAGTCCATGCACTCGATCTTCTAATTGTTTTGTGTGGTTCTCCTTGATTCTGTCAAGTTCTCTCATTCCCCGTCTGATGTCTGCTGCTGCTGTGAGCTGATTAACAACAGAGCTTTCCATTTCTCGTCGAAGGCTCTTTGCACTGTTTGAGAACTCCTCTTTGTATCCTTCAACTAGATAGACATGACCCTCTGTTTGCTTGAAGTACTGTGTTAG